CATAGCATGTCAGTTTCCATAATGGCCTCTCATTTTGAAAATCTTCAGCAATTTGGCGCTTGCAAGACTCCCCATCTGTGCATCTTCATATACACGAATTTTCAATTCCATTTTTAAGTGATTGACATTTATGACTAAACAGCAACAAACAGAGGGAAACAATATCTAATGACCAGAGGATGGGACACACACATGTGATTAGCTGACGCAGGCTGATTGTCTGGTTTTCGAGAAGGAGCATTTCCAGTAGGTGTGGAAGAACGAGTCCATTTGTTCTCATATAGCTAATGAAAAAAGAAGTAATGAATCAAAATTATGAATTTATCTAAGTAAATAAAAAGTTTGAAAAGAACAGGGGGTGGGGGGTGGGGGAGATATAACATATATTATAGCCTTCACTTTGAGGGCCTTTCTAACCCCTCAAAGAGAAGGCTAGAGAAGTATTCTCTTCCGAGGCCATAAGATAGCAAGAATTTTTCCAATGGTAGCTCCTTGGGAGGTTTAGTAGTAGCTCTTATTGGGTGGTTACAAAAGATATTGTGGGTGGATGCGGCGTAAGCACTTTTTTTGTGGGGGGGAAAAAAAAAGAAAAAACTTCGTGGAAAAAATGAAAGAATACACAAGGACCTAATAAACACCACCCAAGAAAACGAGCCAATATAAAATTAACTATAAAGAAAGAGGCCAAATAGAGATAAAATATAATAATAAACCTTTGCAGACAAGTTTCTTAATTAAAAAGATCGTTTCGAACACATCAAGATCAAAGTTTCTTGTTGGTCTTCACTGTCTCAAGCTTTTTATGCCTATTCGTTGTTTTGTATTTATGCTGGTTGGAAGGCTTTTTCGTAGTCTTGTTCTTTAGTTTCCCTTCATTTTCATGTCCTTCTCTGTCAACTCTTTGTAGACCTTGTACATTTGTACTCCTATTAACTTTTCATTGATGAAAAGTCCTATTTCTTGTTCAAATAATAATAAACCTCAGGCTATAGTTAGCATCTACAAAGTACATACACTCTTTTTGAAAGTGTCCATATTGGACACAGATATCAACAACACATTAAAGACATACATTGGACATGTCTCAACACATGGGGAACACACGGATACATCAACCTAAATACATGCGTGGGATAGTGCTCTCATTGGTGTTCATTGTCTACCTTATTTGATAATTATGCTTTCAACAATATTTTTCTTCACTGGGATGCATTCTTATGTCCTTGTTCACTGTACTTTTGCTTTCTTATATTTGTCTCCCTCTGGACAATGTTGCCTGAACATTTTTTTCTATCTTTTCATCAATCAATGTAAAGTTTGTTTCTTGTTTTAAAAAATTATAAATAATAACAATAATAATCACCTAGCTCATTGCCCAACCCAATCCACCACTTATGATCAACCATAAAATTTAACCCAACCCTAAAAACCCTATGAAAGACGAAAAGAGATCACGAGAGGAGATCCTATAGCTCTCTGCTACAAGCACACTTATTTTTTTTATGTTGGATTTACATGTTTTATCTATTTGTATTAATTTATCAATATACAGACATATTCTTTTTTTAAAAAATGCATCCCCAACATGTCCTACGCCTGCTCCTACTTTTCTAATTGACGCGCCGTGATGTCCAAGTCTAATCTCCTTGTTCGTGCTACTTAGCTTAGTGTTGGTCTAACATAATTAAGTCATTAAATGGGCCTTGTGTTGCATATCTGTATATTGGCATTCTTTCATGTAATCAAATTTTCTTTTATGTAGAGGAACTCTAACTCCTCATATAGACATTATTGAGGTTTATGATGAAAAAAGCAATGCTGCTAATAACTTCAAACGTATATGAGCATAAGGTCTCGAAAATGAAAGGTGACCTTATATTGGTTTTGTTTGGATCCAGAATCAACAGCTGCTTTAGATTGACCAGAACTATGAACTCCAAATCCAAAGGGATTAGGTTTTTGCTGTTGCTGTGAACTTGTTTGCATCCCAGAGCCAAAGTTACTCGGTTTCTGTGGTTGCTGAGTGACGTGGAGAAATTTGCACCTTTCACCATATTGACAACTGAAATAGTGCAAATTAGACATTAAGCACAAAGCAGCACATAAATATAAATAAAGGCTACCAAAAACTGAACTTGGATAAAACATGATATCGTTTAGTTGGGATGAGAAACCTGGGAATGAGAGATCCAAAAAAAAAAAGAAAGTGATCCTAACAGTAAGCCATTTAAAGAATAATCATGTCCTAATCTAATAGATACTTCCATTCTCTTCTTTTAGTTAGGTCATTAAGGTCTAATAATATATTTTCGAAGTTTAAAAGTATATAAGAAAAGGTATCTACTTCAATCATAGAACTAAACAACAAGATTAAATCACGATGCAACAAAAGGATTCATGTAAAGTTAAGGAACCGTTGTTTATCAAAATATAATAACACAGTAACATATGAAAATATGAAAATATACCTTACAAAAAAATGTCCGAGGAAAAGACATCCTTCCACCTGACATGGAAATAAAAAGACTACTAAAATAAGAGCTAAGAACTATTGATTTCAGCTATGAGGCAACGCAAAGTGCTCCTAAAACGCAGACTTCCAATTAAAAAAACTGGCACGATAGCTGAAACTACCAATTTCAAGAATCTCTTAATCTTGAAGTGTAACTCCTCCCAGAAAATCTTAAATGAGCAAATATGAGATATTGATATAGCACAACCAATGCATATCAAACCATCGAAAAAGGCTTAAGCTATATCAACAAACATGGATGTGCTATCCAAGAAAAATTATCGATTTTCCAAGCATAATGCATTAAATTTGGACATATGGAAGAAAAATGTCAAAACGAAAAATAAAACCGCACATTTTATAGTCAAATCAACAAACTTGAGAACTGAAAATATCTTACTTCCCTGAATTCCTATTCGCCCAACCAAGATTCCACGAAGATGAGAACTCTCTTCTCGCAAATATCACCACTATTAACTACTGAAGTAAATGGATTAAAATCCAAGCACTGGTACACTCCACTAAATCTCAGAAAGAGCATAAAATCCCACTTAATTCATCCTACTACCTCGAACCAAACTATCAAAAATCTCATAATCTTCAGCAGATTCGTATAGGAATCTCTTAAAGATACAGTGTGCGGAAGTCTTAGCACAAATTAGCGATTACAAACAATCAGAGAAGCAGAACATAAGATAAAATTGTCGAATATAGCGATGAAATAGCACTAAAAAGACGAAAATACGTAGAAAATCCACCATACCTGCCACGCTGAAAATTTCTGCAGGGTTCTTTCTTGTAATGCATGATTTCTCTCTATCCTTCGGCTCAAGTTTTTGCTTCGCGCTCAATTTCTCCTCGGCGGCGAGTCTTCTCTTAATAATATGCACCCGGCGGTGGGGCAATGGCCAAAAATGAGACGAAGAAACAACTATAAAGCTTTTGAGGGTGTGAAATACCATGTACTCCTTTAAAAGAAAATAATTTTACCTTTTATCTAGATTAATTGTAAAAATTAGACAAATAAATTAGTATTAATGAACTTTGTAATGTTTTTAATTTGAGGGTGAAATTACTATTTTGCCCCTTTTAAATAAAATTCCTAATTTTACCCGGTCAACTTTGTGATGTTTGTTAAAAACGTAAAATCAACTACCGAAATGATTTATGGTCAGATACTTTCACTGAAACATTGCAACTCATACTACAACGTGAGTTCTTCAGTAGCAACTCAGCGTAGCGTGAAAAATTTGAATACCGAGCTTTAAATCGTGAGTGATTTGGCCACGTAAAGAGTTAGGTAGGACATCGTTAGAAGACTAAAATTTCATCAAGGGACGTGAGAGAGATTGGTGCACTTATAGGAGAGAGGCATGTGTGTGAAGAGTTGGGAGGATTTGAGGGACATCGAGGACATGCCTTGTTGGGTACCATGGCTTTGTGGGGTACCACTCACTTGACTTAGAGATATAATTGATAGATTATAGGAAGATAACGACATGACCTTGTCTGGAGAAGGTGAACATAGTGGCATGGCATTATCTCGGAGATGATAATCATCTTGTCTTGCTATTACCTTCATATAGTGATTGATAGGATAGGTTATCGAGAAACTTGAACGGATTAAGAGACTCTTCGAGTAAGTTGATTACAGGTAGAATTACAAGTCATTTTGTGCTCTGGACTAAGTTGTTCTTACTTTGAGAGCGTTAAAACTATATGTTCATGAGTAAGCATGTATGCGTTGAGTAATTGAAAAGCTATGCATTTTTATAGTCTTTTTTGCATTGAGATCGTAATTAATATTGTGTTTAGGTCTAAGTCCACCGCCACCGTTAACAGATATTACCTCCATTGGGGACCCACGTACTCGTTGGCACACCGCCTGATGTATGACCCTGATACTATTTGTAACAGTTCAAGTCCATTGTTAGTAGATATTGTTTTCTTCAACACCTGCTACAAAACGGTTTTCACACCCTTACAAACAATGATTCATTCCTCTCTCTCTCACAGGATCTCACGCTAAGTTTGACCAACTCATCAATCCCCTCGTTTATTTATTAGATTGGATATGAATCACTATTTTAAAAATTAGACAGATCCATCGATTGTCTTATTTCAATCATATTTGGATCAACCCATCAAACTAGCTCGATGAATTTTTGGATAGTTGTTCCTATGTTATATTTTAGATATTATAGTTTTTTTATTTAAAATAAAATTTTAAAAAGCGTTAAATGTTAATAAAAAGGTTTATTAAAAAACAAAATTTTACAATATCAACAAATTTATCCCAATAAAAATACCAAAATTAAAAAAGAAATAGAAATTTAATTAATAATATTTTTCAAAAAGTAGTAAATAATTAATATTATTTAATTCGATGATTTTAACCAAAGAGTTATGCTACGAGCACCGAACAGTACCTCGAGAGGCCAATGATGAGGCTGACTCAAAACGGTTCCCTCTCTCTCTTGTTTGTCATCTTCCAATTTTTGCTGTTTCTGTTATATTTGGTGCTTACATTATTCTCTCTTTTATCCATTTGGGTCTCTTTTTTTCTGATTTGTTTCTGATTTGCTTCAATTTTCTAGCTGGATCCCGATGGAGCCGCCACCTCTTATCGACCTTGGCGACGACGATGGCGGCGGTGATGGTGATCATACTGCATCTCCCCTCACCAACTCGTATACCCAAAACCTTAATCACATCAATTATGGGTTTGAGTACTCGAATCGCGACGATACTACCAGTAATTACCGCACCCAATTCTTCGATTCCAGTTCGTCTTCGTCCGATAATGAAAATGACGGTGTCTCTTCCAATTCCGTTGAGTCCACCACCAAACGATTGGATTATATGCTGCAATTTCTAGACCGGAAGCTTTCATCTCAATCTGTTTCGTTTAGTAATCATGATGGTAATATTCAGGGTTCGGATTATGATGCGAGTCGTTCTTCTCTTCCTGAATTCGTTGGGCGGGGCGGAGGAACTGGGATTTTTAGGCTTGCGGTGCGTGCTGCTGTTCACCCTCATCGGCCGCCTAGTCTTGAAGTGAGGCCGCATCCTTTGAGAGAGACGCAGATCGGGTGCTTTTTGAGGACGATTTCCAGCAGCGAGTCCCAATTGTGGGCTGGTAGTGAATTTGGCGTTCGGTTTTGGAATTTCAAGGATTTGTATGCTGCGGCAGAAGACACGGCTGTGAGAAATGGTGATGAAGAAACCGTGCCATTTCGCGAGTCAGTGTGGACGTCTCCTACTTTTTGTTTGGTTGCTGATGAGGGAAATCGGTTAGTTTGGAGTGGCCACAAGGATGGCCGGATTAGATGCTGGAGGATGGATATTCAAAGTTTGAATTCAAATGGTCATTTTACAGAAGCGTTGTCTTGGCAAGCTCATCGTGGTCCTGTTTTTTCGCTTCTAATGACATCTTATGGTATATATAATCTCTTGTGATTGTCTAAGCTTGGTGGGTTTTGCTTCTTTTTTGTTGACTGTTTTGGTTTTGCTTTCTTTCTCTTAGGTGATCTTTGGTCAGGTTCCGAGGGAGGTGCTTTGAAGGTGTGGCCATGGGAAGCTATTGAGAAGGCTCTCTCCCTGACAGCGGAAGAAAGTCCTATGGCTTCTTTGTTGGTGGAAAGATCCTATATTGATCTTAGGACTCAAATCAGTGTTGGATTCAGTAACACATTTACTTGGGATGTTAAGTACTTGTTATCTGATGACTCTACTGCCAAAGTCTGGAGTGCCAGTGACCTCTCTTTCGCGCTCTGGTACGTTTGTACTTATGTGATTGTTACATAAGATTGCTTACTCTTTTTTGTTGTTGCATTTGATGGATCGATTTTCTTTAGTAGATGAATCTTTCCATCTAAAGATAAGGTGTATTGATTAGGAACTTATATAATCAAGTCCATTTGTTATATGCAACATTGACCTCGATTCGTTTCATCAATGAAAAGTTTTGTCTTGGTTTTTGTTAAAAAAGAAAACCGATTTACAATACATTTGATTTTATTTGACCTTGTATTTATAAGCCATGAGAATTATGTACAAGAGACAAGGTAAGAACAATGATTATTCGAGAACAAAGCTCACTCTCCCAGAAAATTCGAGAGGGTTGGTAATCTCGCTCTAACCTTAGAACACTGATCTTTTACAAAATGACAAGAAACCCTTCCTAAAAAAGAGACTTCCATTTTAGAATACCCTCACGCCGACACAGACCATACATCACCCCCACAAAAACTTTTCTAGTGGTTGATCCCCTTTTCATCCCTCCAAGTGTATTCACAATTGGAGGTCTCACAACTGCCTTGGGGCCAGGTAGAGAGAACCCTTGCCCAAAACACTACAAAAATTTGTCTTCCATTCATTCGACATAGTACAAACTTTTTAAGGTTACGTGCAGTCGGAGCATGTCCTAAACACATAAGTTCCTGCATGTCTATGGGTAAAAATTCTCTTCAATATCCTGTTTTCTTTGTGCTGTAGTTGTAACTTGCTTCTGAGTAGCTAAATGGATACTTTCAAGTGTCATTGCCTTTTAATATGTGGATTTTAGTTATTTATTGTTTCCACTTTTCAAGGGATGCTCGCACAAGGGAGCTATTGAAAGTGTTCAATACTGATGGTCAGCTGGAGAACCGAGTTGATATGACTCCTGTCCAAGATTTTACGTTGGAGTCTGTTTCTTTTCCAAAGAAAGAGAAGACACAAAGTGCCTTTGGTTTTTTTCAGCGGTCACGTAATGCTATAATGGGAGCGGCTGATGCTGTTCGCCGAGCTGCTGTGAAGGGAGCCTTTGGAGATGATAATCGGAGAACTGAAGCATTAGTGATAACAGTAGATGGTATGATCTGGACTGGATGTACAAGTGGCTCACTTGTTCAGTGGGATAAATATGGAAATCGTTTGCTAGATTACACTTATCATTCTCATGCTGTCCAATGTTTTTGTTCTTTTGGATCACGAATATGGGTGGGTTATGCCAGTGGTACTGTACAGGTATTGGACCTCAAAGGTAACCTTATTGGAGGATGGGTGGCTCATAGCTGTGCTGTGATTGAAATGTGTGCTGGATCTGGTTACATATTTACCCTGGCAAATCATGGTGGTATCCGTGGGTGGAATGTTACTTCTCCAGGACCCCTTGACGGCATAATACGCTCGGAGTTGGCTGCGAAAGAATTCTTGTATACAAGAATGGAAAATTTAAAAATATTCACTGGTACATGGAATGTCGGACAGGAAAAAGCATCTCATGACTCTCTCATCTCTTGGCTGGGTTCTGTTGTCACAGATGTTGGCATTGTTGTTGTTGGGTTGCAGGAAGTTGAAATGGGAGCTGGTTTTCTAGCAATGTCAGCAGCTAAAGAAACTGTGAGTTCCTTCATTATAAAACGTACAAATCTTTCTTTTCGCTATATCTCAACTTTTTGAAAACTAATAAATGAACCTCAAGAAAGTTATCTGCATGTTTTATTATTTCTAAATGAAAAGAAAAACTACATACTCCTTAGCTTGAGGCTGTTGCTTCTTTTGTCATTCATGGAATTCAAGCTATTTCTTGTTTTTTTTTCCTTAGCTAGAGGCTATTGCTTCGTTCGTCATTCTTGGGGGGGGGGGGGGGGG